CGAGTACAAGAGGAACCTACGAAGCTGTCGCACAACTTGATGCAATTGCTTGGTAACCAACGGAAAATCAACACAAGACCATGGCGTCTTGTCCAGCCGCATCCCACGTTAAACACGTTTTCTCTCAGCTGTGTCCATCTTTTCACACAAACCACTGACGCTGCCAGCTTTGGAACACAGGCGACTTTATTGTACTCGGCTATCTCGTGCGGGGGGAAAGAGGCTCGGCGAGGCTCGGAGGAGATGCATGCGTGTCTTGCGTAGCATCTGGCCAAGGAACCGAGAGCCAAGAGCACTGGCAACGGAGGAATGGAGCTTATGCAACCACTTGTGCTTACTCCGTCCAGCTGGCTATCGATAGTGGTTCCACGATAACGTGCATCACGCGAGCTGACGCCGCAAATGCCAACGACGCGATACCACCATCAGATGACGGAGCCACGCCTGCCCCGGAGCGCAAAAACAGCCGCCCAGGACGAGGAGAGTGAGGGCAGAGGGCGTGGTGGTGTGTCATGGTTGGGTCACCGAGTTGGTTGCCAGCAACAACAACAACAACACGTGCTAGTGCGATGCGTGATGCGGAATGTCATACACTGGTACCAGCGTGGGCGAAGGAACTGCAAATAAACACGAGCCCGGAGCTATCCAGGTAGGCATGTACATAGGGCTGCGATGAACATGTTTGCTACCGCACTGGACGCGTTGACAAAGTCCATCTCCGAGACCTCTGGTCACGCTGAACGGTGAGACGGCTGGGCCCAGCTAGGCGCATAACGTCAATTCAATATAAATCAGCATCCAAGCATTATGCTCGCTGAACAACAATAGTACCTAGACACTTGATGCAAGGGGGCTTTTGCTTTTGAGGAACCGCTCTCCACCCAGCATAAAGACGCTGACTTCCCGGTGTTGTTGTATTGCTCGATGATGGTACATGGAGTCATGGTCATGAACACGACGCGGACATATTGGTGCAATGGAGTCCAGTTCCTTCCTCCATGTCTGCGCTCAACGCCGCTTAGTGGGGTTACCCCGGCAAGAGGCGCGCTGAACACTGCACAACCCATCAAGGCGGGGGACCACACATGTCAAGGTCCACCATGCACGCAGTCTGGCTGACCTGAGGCCAAACGGCCCTTGCCAAGGCGCAAATATTTTTCCAGATTGATTTTTCGGCAAAGTGACCCAGGCATGTGCTGCCGGCAAGCCGCGCCCGCTGCCATCGACTCTAATATTCCCGCCACCCGATGGATGGTCGCGTCACAACGTTTGAACCTTCCAACCGTCCAAGTGCTCCCTCAACTCCTCGCGAGCTGAAGCGTCCTTCGCTGTCTGCCTCCCGACTCCTATCGACCTTGAATACCTGCCCAGATATCGTCGTATTCTAATAAGCCCAGCGGACTGCCTCGCACCACCCACGCATCGCCCCGGGCTTGGTCTTTTGCCGAAACAGCCGCAACCGGTTTTGCGCCGCGCATCTCCCTGCCGCATGACTGCGAGACTATCATCGCCATTTCAACATGGCCTTCAACTTCAACTGGTCGCCGCTTACTGCGGACGCTGAATTCTACCGTCGAGCCCGTGATTTGCTCACAACGGCCCTGAACAAATCCCCCAAGCCGCCCATCATCGTCGACGATATCCTCGTGAGCGAGTTCAACTTGGGCACTGTGCCGCCCGACCTGGAGATTCTCGAGATTGGCGACCTCGCCGAAGACCGATTTCGCGGCATATTTAAAATGTGCTATTCCGGCGATGCTTTCCTGACTTTGAAGACACGGGTTCAAGTACGTCGAATCACTTTGTTTCGCGCCGTTTGGTTTCTTTTTTTCCCGACTTTTTTTTTTTTGATGCCTCCGAGAATGCCCGGCTACCTTCCGTTCCCCCACGCAGGACCATGCACATCATCACAAAACAATGACAAAAGCAACGACATCTATTGATTCCTGTTGCTGCAATACAAGATCCGTTTTGTTTACCAGTGTAAAACGGTTTTGTCCCCCTGATTCACGCCGTTTCGTGTGAGCCCCAAGCTCCAAAAAGTCTTTTGGCCGCGCCGGACAAAGCTGTCACAGCATCTGCACCTCGGTTTCTGCATCCAGCTTCGCAGCATATTCTTGTCTCTCACAACAAACATCGCGCTTGGACGTCGCCGCAACGTCCTCGAGACGTGTGCGCGACTGTCCCCCCAATTGAAATTAACCCTTACAAACATTTATGCGCAACACGCTCTGGTCGGGGGCGTCGCGTAATGCAAGGAAATGACCACGAATGACCAGGTGCCCCGTACCAGGGGTCCATCCCAGTCAATAGATTGCTCTGCTAACGAACGAGCTTCTAATTATAGGCGAATCCATTAAACACCTACCTCTTTTCCAAACCGTCCTTCACCTCGCCTCAGCCTCTGGCAGCCGCTTCGGGTCTTACTATTCCCCTCTCAATTACCTTGTCGGACATACAACTCTCCGCTTTCATCATTCTGGTCTTCTCCAAGCAAAAGGGCCTGACCTTGGTGTTCCGAAATGACCCGCTCGAGTCTCTCAAGGTCTCGTCGACCTTTGATTCCATACAATTCGTTCGCGATTACTTGCAACGCACAATTGAGCAGCAGCTCCGCAACCTAATGATGGACGAGCTTCCCGCCATCATCCACAGACTCTCTCTGCAGCTGTGGTGCCCTGACCAGGCCAACAAGGGCACCGAGACACCAACGGAAGACGCTGATGTAAAGGGCGCCGACCCGTTTGCAAGTCCGCCGCTGGACCCCGTCGATGCGAATGGGAATCTTTTGGATTACAATACCGTTTCGGAGCTCACTTTGAACGGCGGTGGTGAAGTGCCATACTTGTTCTCGCAAAAGAACTTGCTTCGTCTAGCCGCATTGACGGATTCACATCGAACGCTGTCTCTCTTTACCCCAGGCATCAATGAGGTCGTTTTCCGCGCCTGGTCTGGTTTTGGTGACCGTTCCGAAGCTGCCAGCCCTCCTTTTGCTACTCCGAGTCTCGCCAGGACTTCATCATTCCCCACTGGAGGCAGCACCACCTATACATTTTCCGATTCAGGAAGCACAGCTCATGGATACTTGCCATCGAGACCATCCTTCGTAGGCTTGAATTCTGCCGCCAACGGCGTCGCCCACGGTGCCAACCACCGGTCAAGACCTGGTCGAAAGAAGAAAACCAGAGTCGTCAACCTTCGACGAGCCAAGTCGGAAGCCGGCTCCTCTGATGTCACTTCATCAGAGGACGTTTCCGAAACCGCCTCAGTCAACGTCCCATCATCAGAACCTGTCATGTCGACCTCCATCCCCGAGGAGCCCGCATCCGACGGAGCAAGGGTTGAAGGAGTGCCTACTGGCAAGGTTCGCTTCAGACCTGCTCACAGGGAGCACGTCCTACCCATCCGCCAGGCCCTCATGTCCGACATATACAAGAAGAAACTCGAACAAATGGCCTCGACCCAGGAAGAGGTGAAAACCCCCGAGTCTCTCATCAATACTTATGGCATGATTACCGAAAAAGCTCCTTTCGACAAGAATGGCAACCCTATCCGCGACCAACAATCTCAAGCAAGCAACTCGTCCGACACGTCATCTGTCATCCTCGAACAGGCATGGATTATGAAGATGGCCGGCGAAATCGCCCGCCGTGTATATGACGAGAAGAACCGCCATCAAGGCATTTGGGAAGAAGGGGAGAGTGCTCCCCCTCCTGCCTATGAGGCTGCAACTCACTAAGCCAACCCAAACTAGATAATGCGGCATGCATGAAGTATACTTGTACATGGTTGAGTCACTCGCTGAGACTAGCGTCTCTTACTCTCATTTACAATCTCCCAGCACTATACAATGTACAGGTGTTTGGAAAGCACTTTCCCTTGCGCCTTTATTCTTTCGGAAAACACAACACCATCGAAATTTACATATACCATGAGCGTTTCTGAGCGTTGTAATATTATTGGTTCCATGATTTAAGCCGTCATTTTTTATACTATTTCCCCCTTTTTTTTTGGATTCTTATACCCGTGCAGGAATCAGATGAAAGGAGAGGGTTGGGAATATTCGTTGAATCTCCCCCATCTTCTCTGGATCGAGATGACACGCTGTCCCAGGCGGACAGGCGGGTCAAAGGGTTGTGTTTCGATCGAATTTTTGGGTTGGGGCGGGTAATAAAATGGGATGGGATGCGTTGTGAGCGGAAATGGAGATATAAAGGGATGATATTTGGAGTTGGTGTAGGATTTACAATGGCAGAGAGAGGGACGCTCGGGTCGTGGTGACGTGATACCAAGGCAAAAACTCCAATCTTGATACTATCAACTATTAATATGGGCCATCTGGTGTGTATTCTTGTGAATGTCTACCAAAGTTGTTAATGGGCCTAACTGTGGCCATTTGCGATCTAATCGCCAGTGTATTCCATCTACATGTGCCTGCGTCGTCTCGATTACTAGAGGTTGCAGAGATCATTTCTGAACTCCCTGTATCGTCTATACATGCTGCATATTAAGCAATGTGGACAGAGCAAGGACGATAACGCCCACGTCGTGATGTTGTTATTCTTGCTGCGCAGACCTTATTCTGTCCATCCTTATATATTGAATGGGCTCCTGGGCTAGTTCTTACACCCCTTACCCGTTGCTCATAATTCTCTCTCACAGCATTCGTGAATATACGACTGAGATCTGGCGCTGTGTGGATACCGTTGACCCTGGATGTATCTCTTGGTGGGCTTGGAGAACCATCTTCATCGAGCGATGAGATAGCATCTACCCACAGGATATGACTCGTTATCGAGACAATGGAATGGTGTGATGTAGGTCTCGGATCAACGCGTTTCCGAGCGAGATTCACCTTTTTGGAAGGTTCAGACATCTCTGTGTGTTTTTGAGCCCGAAATGTCTGTTCCGTGTTCCCTCGGCAGGCATCGACGGCAAGTCTTGCTGGGTTTCGCGCACTGAAGTTCATCAGCGTTTAGCCAGCGTCTGTCCCTTGCCCTCTAGACAGGTTTCGCCGCCGCCGCTGCCGCTTGATTCTCAGCCTTGAGCTTAGCCAGCAGTTCTTCCTTGGACTTGAGCTCCGACAGGATTTGCGCGGCCATTTTCTCCGTCTTGGTTTGCGCCTCCTTAAGCTTTCGTACCTCGGCGGCTTCAGTCTCGCGACTAAACGGTTGTCCAGGCCGGTTGTGGTTCGGGATCATGGCTGTATGCTCCCACACCTCGCCGCTATCGGGGGCCGGTAGCGGCGGTGGTGCACGGTTTTTGCCCTTTCCCTTTCCCTTGCCAGATGCTCCAGATGGCTTCCAGCCTTTGGGCACGGCCCCAGATGTCAGGATTTGGTAGAATGCTTCGTATGGTTCGTTGAAAAGCTGCTCCTCGTAGCTCCAGGACCGAACCTCTCCATTCTTGGTCACCATTGACTGCTTCTCCTCTTCTGTCCGGCCGAATGGATGGAGACGGAGATAGTGGTACATGGTCTGGGGTTTCTCGCCTGAGTCGTTGACGTAGTACAGCTTGATGGTGATGTCGAATTCACCCCATCCTGTCTCGTTGACTACAAAGGGCTTCCCCTGCTCACCCTCGATCACTGGGTTGGGTTGGTTAGCGTCTACTTCCATGGAGGGCTAGGTCTTCTTTGGCAACCACAGGTGGGCAAACCGTACTCCGCACGTAGTTGGGAATAGATTCGTGCAGCTTGAACTGAACTCGGCGTAGCCAGTACGTGATATCTGTGTCTTCCAGGCCTTTCACAAACACCTGCCATGAATGCGTATGGTTGTCTGGCGTGCCGGGCGGCTTGGGGTTTGTCTCGGAGAAGGGAATGGCAGTGGTGCCGACGATAAAAGGCCGTCGCACCTGCGTCAACTTGACGCGTTTACCGAGCTGATTCGAAGGGGCCATGGTGGCGGGCGGCGGAGAAAATTGGCAAACACAGAGCAATCGACGGTTCAATTGATGATGGATGTGCTTCGGCCGTCAGACCTGATGCGCCTTATGGTGGTGGTGCGGAATGTCTAAGTTGCGACAGGCAGATAAAAAAAAAAAATAAGGAATAAGCATTGACTGATGGAGTCTGTCAGCCTTGTGAGCTAATACTAGTCTATGGCATCCAGCCAATCCCGTCGCGACAGTGGCACAGGACGCCCATGGCCGGGAATAAGGCTCCAGCTTACAATACACAGTAATCGTCCGCTGTCAAATCAAACTGATGTTCAAATCCTTCATTTCACTGACAAGGTATTAAAAAAAAAATCAGGCTATTGATTTTGTGAATTATGCATCAGCCTGCTACGCGTTAAACTCGCATGGCATGTGTGTCACTCTGCGAACTGGACCCCAAACTGGACCCCAGGGCAAAGCTCCCAGTCATCCCTGCACAAGCTGGGGCGTCAACGTATGATCTCATGACTTTTTATACCAAGCGCCATCCTCGAATCCTGAAGCTTTTCATCCAAACCATAGCTTCAACCGGCTCAATCGTTTCCTTTTCCCCCCCAATTCATTCAACAAGGTGTGATACAGCTGCCAGCAAGCTCGACATCCCCCCAAAGTGAACACAATAATCCATCCTAGCTCCCCGAACACAGCTCCGACAGCCGAAGCGTCCCTCATCAAACCATGGCGGCCGCGGCAACGAGGCTCGTCGTCTGCGGCGGAAGCGGCTTCCTAGGTTCCCGTATCTGCAAGTACGCCGTCGCCCGAGGATGGGAAGTCACATCAATAAGGTAAATCGGCCCCCCCTCCCCCTAAGCTTCCGTTCATTGACACGCCCGGCCCTTCCTTTCAGTCGATCAGGCGAGCCAAAATGGGACTCGGTCACCTCGTCGCCTCTCCCACCATCCTGGTCACACAAGGTCTCGTGGGAACGCGGCGACATCCTCCGCCCCGTGACGTACGCGCCGCTGCTCAAGGGCGCAGACTATGTCGTACACAGCATGGGCATCCTCCTCGAGGCAGACTACAAGGGCATCGTCTCTGGGAAGGAGTCGCCGCTCACCGGCCTGCAAAAGATGTTCTCCCCAGTCCGTGAGCGTGGCACCAACCCGCTGGATAAAAAGGCCGGCGAGGATATCAAGCCGCCTAATCCCACCGACCAGTTCTCATACGAGGTCATGAACCGCGATAGTGCCGTCGCCCTGGCCAAGCATGCCGCGGCGGAAAAGGCCAGCGCCTTTTGCTTCATTTCCGCCGCTGGAGGTGCGCCTATCATGCCCCCGCGGTACATCTCCACCAAGAGACAGGCCGAAGTTGCCATTGCGACGAATTTCCCCGAGATGCGTGGTGTCTTTGTGCGGCCACCATTCATGTATGACAGCTCGCGCAAGATCACCATGGGTATGGCTGCCATGGCTGGCGCTGGCACACTGTTCACGAGAATGACGGGAAATTACTTGAAAGATTTCATGGGCGCTGCTGGCACAAAACCGCTCCAGGTTGACACGGTTGCAGAGGCGGTTGTGGAGGCACTCAGTGACGAGACAGTCAAGGGACCCGTCGAGGTTCCTCAGATTGAGGAGCTAGCGAATAAGGGATGGCGGAAGACTATGTTGTAAGATTGTGTGCCCAAAAATGCACAAGGTGAAGCTCTTTAGACTGTACAATAAAAATCCAACGCCACAATATGCACCGGGTATTAGAAAAACCATTGCGTTAACCCATCTTTATAAACTCCGTCATGACTTGCGCTTCTCATAACCAATCACTCATAGCCCCCCGAATGCATCGTACCCACAACAGAATCGTGACGTTGTGCCATAATTGTCTGTCTCGCAACCATGTCAAACGACATTCTTGCAGTCCTGCCTGCACCCTCCGCCTCATTCAAATCATGGTGCCTCTCTCGAAGCTGTCCCGGATATCAGCAGTGTACTTGTCGTAGAACCTTGCCAGTTTCTGGTTGAACTGCTTGTTCTTCTCGTTGATGTATGTGACATCTCCGTCGTCGCCATTCTTGGCCATGCGCTCCTTTCTCTTCTTGAGTCTCTGCTCTTCGGCCCGTCGCAGATCGGCAACCAGGCGGTCCACCGCCGCCTTATCGGGCTTGTTCTGCGTGAGGGTAGCCGTGTCGGCTGTGGAATATAATGACCCGTCTTTATCGACGGCAATGAGCTCGCCATCTTCGGTCTCGACAATGTCCAAACCCCCTGAAGCGGCTGCCTTTTCAATTGCTGCCATCTTCTGCTTTTCATATTGCTCCATGTCGGGAGTGATGTTCTTGAGCTGACGCTTGTAAATCTTGTTGCTCTCTTGTTGAGGGTCGCTAAAGGCGTTGTTGTCACGATGCGCAGCCTTTTTCTTCATTCGCTTGTCCCACTTCTCGCTCTCGTCAACCGTCCAGTCCCACGCCCGCTTGCGCTCAAAATCTTTGCCGGATTCTTCGATCTCCGCCTTGAGAAGCTTGTGCCCTGCGATGTCCTGCTTGCGCTTCAGGGCTGTGAGTTGGCTCTGATCTGTGCCCAGTCTCTGGGATTCCTTTGTAGCTTCGTCGCGGTTTGTTGCGGAGGACGTTTTTGCTCGTGCCTGGAGGGCCTTGAAGCGGGCCATGCGATCTTCAGCTGGCGCCATCTCGAGACCTGGTTCGTGTAAACTGTTGTTTGAAGATGTGTGTGTTTGAGTGTGTGTAACGGTGCTCGAGAAGATGTTGTAGGAATTAACGCTTTTTTTCTGGGTGCTGTTTGAGTAGAGACTATGCGCAGAGAAGGTGCTCGCTGATGCTGGCTTCAGGGTGAGTGTAGAAAGAGGACACAACAGTGGATAGGATGACAGAATTGCCCTGACATTTCTGGAGGGGAGCACTGACAAGTACTCCGTACTAATGCCCGCTATACCATTTTAGGCATCAAGTCCCATTTTTCACGTGCTGAAAGTCTAAACTTGCGGTATCCGCTGCAAAATGCACTGACGAGTCACGACATTGGAGCCCAGAAATACTAGCCTGTAAATGAAGATGCAATTAAGTTATGCTTTGTCGCAACATAAATTATAGTGCTGCTTGGTTGCATTCGACGCGACTTCAGGGTCTCTGGGCGAGCTCTAATTTCAATCTACCTATTTGAGTTTAGTATATCTAAACCCTCTTACATACAATGGGAGTAATCTCATGGCGTGAAGCATAAACACCGGGCCTGTGTAATCGAGCGCCAAAAAGTCAACCAACCGTTCAATGAGATACACCGGACCAGACAAGACCAGACCAGACAACATCTGTGAACGGCGCCTCGCTACTAGTGCTCTACGCGAGAGTCTCCAGGGGCGGATCCACTAGATCTTGGGGTTGGCGTCCCCTGAGGATCCCCTGGCGGAACCCCAGGTCTTCAATTGATGTTCGATCCCGTGTGGGGTGGCGTGTCAAAATCATGTCATCTCACGACCTCACTCCCAGCAACCTCGAGCACAGCGAGATGCCACGCTCGAGCTTCAAGCCGAAGCATCCCATCCCCCTGAACCATATGGCATCCAGCCCATGAGCAACACCAACTTCACGCACCAAAAAAGATGATACGCTCCGCAGCGCGGCTCTCCCAAGCCGACCTCAGCGTGGCACCACACTTACTCCGACCCAAAACTTTTGTGAAAAAAATTGGCAAGAACAATGAGATCTACTACACCCTAGTGAAGAAGGGGCTTGCGCATAACCTCGATCCGGAAAAGGAGTACAAATTCTTTGAAATGCCGAATTTACTGCTGGATCTCGATGCGGAGGGCACACGACACGTGCGGTCCGTCGAGGAAACTGATGAGAAGCTAATGACGGCCAGATGGGCAGAAGTGCCCAGACGAAGGGCAGTGCAGACTCGATCAAGGGCGTTCGAAGAACAACTTTACGAATCACGGGGGAAAGCACGCGAGATCATGTCACAGCCCACCAATATTTGGCGCATCACTTCGCACGATATCGTCTCCGCTGCGCTTCATGGAGGTCCTGGCCCCCAGAGGAAATCGGCTCGGGAATTAACACCGGCAGACGTGATATCTGGACCAAGCAGCACACCAACACCATCCAGAAACTCGGAAATCATCGAAAAGCTTCGCCTGGAAAACGGCATACCTCAGCACGCCGTCAACGAGGACCAGCTCCTCCTTCGCTGGATGACCCTCCGCTACAACAGTCTCACCCAGCCATCCCCATATCGCAGACGAATAGCGCCCTCACCAGAACAACTCAAACGAGCTCTTCAAACCCAAACGACCATTCTGGGCGCGCGTAGACTGGTATTCCAGGCACTCTCGGCCGGCACCAGCATAAACAGCTTCCAGAATGAGACCAAGCCGGCAATAAGTCTGCCTCACCAGATACGCTCTACATGCGCCTACATCTTGCGTCAAGATCCGCGCAATCGAGATTTGTATCTTCAGGCGCTCACATTCCTCGGAAACCTCTCTGAGCGACTTTCTTCCCTCGATGCGCAACTAGGACCCATCTTGTGCGGGCTGGCGTTGAAGCTTTCTGCAGAGATTGGTTCCCTGGAAGCGTTGCCAGTCTGGCTCTATCGCAGCCACCACACCAGCGGCAACGGCAAGCTGCTCATGAAAGATGTATTGTCAGCACTCACCTCTTTGCAGGGCACACTGAGGAGCAAACGCCCTGTGAACCTGCAGGCCATTGAGCAACGCCAGCTTCTGTTCCAATTACTTACAGGCATCGACGAAAATGACACGATGGCCAAAGACTCTTTCAGGACATTTGGTACGACTTTCCTCGAGGGGGACAGCTCAAGCACGGCCAGGCGCGCATACTCTGCCTACATTGCACTGCTGGGACACCTTGGCGCAGCACGAACACTGTGGCGGGAATGGCGAGAGCTGCCCTCTTCTGTTTCAAGAGACGAGGACGTCGTGCTCGGCTTTTGCAACGCCCTGAAACAGGCAGTCCGTGTCATGCCCGGCTCTGATGGCGAGTA